TACTTGAGAAAAATAATTTTGATGATATAATAATTATTTATTTGCTTAATATATACATTAGTATGTAATGTTCTAACATATAAAGTTAACATGATGTAGTCTAAATTCATTTGTTTTTGTTAACAATTTCTCTTGTGATGTAGATATATGTTTCTGAATATATTTTCCAAAAATTTTAGAGAATTGTCACGATTTGTTTTTGATGCTCAAGACAAAAGAATGACTTTATTTATGACTTGTAATAATGCCAGTTGAAGTTTGTATTAGTTTAATTTTTATTATTTATATAATAGTTAATTTTATGAGATAAATATTTTTATTAATGCAAATATATATTTTTTATTTGGGTAGGTATTTGTATTTAAATTAAAGTATTATATATGTCACAATTGTGTTATCAAGTTAACAAGATCTTCTAAATTCAAAATATATTATTTTAAAATGTTTCGAGTGTTTTTTTTAAAAAAAAAACTCATAACCAATGTGAAAATATATGAATATATAAAATGTAATTGTTCTTTTCACATGTTCATATGACATCTAAACAAATTAACGTGGAATACACATGCAAAACACATCTGGTTAGATGACAAGAAAAATACAAAACAAATATTGTCTATAAGGTAATATTAGTGATATAAGACTAATTACATGATTAACCACATCAAATTAAAATAAATATATACATTATTGCATTTAACTAATAAATTTTTTCATTGACCATCTTCATAGATTTGCGTGAATAAGAAATATATATGGCGATCCACATTGAACATTCACAAAAGAATCTGCAATATTATTTTTTGCTAAGCCTATTATTCAAATATTCGCTTAACTAAGCAATACTATTTACTATAACATATATTTTTGGTATTGGTAATCACGCGCAACGCACGTGTCAAAAAACTAGTATTCTTATAATGACCAAACATTTTTTTAGACTTTAAAAGTTATTTCATTTTAATCAATATTAACAAGGGGATGATATTTCGTCAGTAAAAAACATAATTGCCGGTCGGTAAAAATTAATTAATCAACTAATATTAGGCTGTAGTGTTTTCGTCTTTTATTTTTCCCCCTAACCCACGACTTACCCACTTCCGCTCCCAATTCTTAGCTCAAAATAGTCCCTCATCTTTGGGTTAAGACTCAAAGCCATTCTTAAGTTTTCACATGGAGCATTAATAATCCCTCATATTTGCAATATTGGTGCACTTTTGGTCCTCCTTCAAAATTTTGCATATTTTTTAACATTAATTTTATTCATAATTTATGTATGGAATATTTAATCGTCATTTTATATATTTAGTAGAAATAATAACTCCATGTGAGAAGAAAAACACCTTATTTTATTTAGTAGAAATCGTATTGCAGGTAAAACCGAGAGGTTCATCACGACAATTTCACGTACAATAGTAAAAAAAATTCTTTTTTGCAATGTCATATGTTAAAATGTTCTTAGTTTAACTGCAATAATATTTATGATTTCACGTGCAATAGTACAAATTTTTCTTTTCTTGCAATGTCATATGTTAAAATGTTCTTAGTTTAGCTGCAGTAATATCTATACTGAACAAAACAAGATGTTCTTCTTCTCATCTTTTCTCACATAAAGTTATTATTTCTACTAAATATATAAAAAGACAACGAGACATTCCTTACACAAAATTATGAATAAAATTAATGTTAAAAAATAGGCAAAAGTTTAGGGGAGACCAAAAGTGCACCAATATTATAATCATGAAGGACCATTAGTGCTCTATGTGAAAATTCAAGTATGACTTTGAATTTTAACAAAGATAGACATTATTTTGGGCCTTCTCACTCCCCTCCCCATCTAAAATTCGGAAAAACCATCAAAACACAATTCTGGTGAAAGAACTGCCCGTATACTCATCACCAACATTGATTTCCTTTAAGTTTTGGGAGAAGAAAGTTTGTTTGTCACCTCCGTAATTGTTGATCTTAAGGTAAGATTTGACATTTACCCTATAAATATGTTAATTTTGCTTCAAATAAATAGGGTTAGGATAACAATTGTAAGTATATGGATGTTGATGTTGGTGTTCAAGAATTTTCCGTACTGTTGATTTCAATTATTCTGTTTTGGGGTTTTTTAATTTGGGTTATAGAAGGAAGAATTTGTGGCATGATTGATTTTTATGTGCATTCCATTTGTGGTATTCTCTTATTTTCTCCTTCTTTATGGAGTAACTTTTTGTTTCCTGTATGTTTAGTTAAAAATTAAGTCTTTCTCCTATTGGGCTTTCGAAAATTTACAATCTTGGAGGGATAAAACAGAGTGCCTGAAATTCGATGGTTACATGGTTCTTATGGAGATTTGAGTTAATATGAACTCGCGTCTTCAATTCGGTGCTCAATACTACTCCCAAAATATACTTTAGCTCATATGTGTTTTAAACACCTCTTTCTTTAATTTGAGATAATTGCTCAAGGTTTAGCCCAAAGGCCCTCTTGGAGTCGATGTTCCCTTTACTGAAAACTAGCCCAAAGGCTCTTTTGGAAATCATAGTTCCTTTCTTGCTCAAATGTGAAAACATTTATAAACTTCTTTGGGAATACTTAGTTCCCTAATAACTTTTGAGAAATGAACTCAACTCTTACTCTTTGCTTTACTTGAAACTTGAGTCTTGAAACGAAGTTAAAACGTTTAATAAAGACTCTTGAGTCCTTGGCGCTCTGAGAGGCGTGGGGCGCCAACCCTCAACATTCAGGGACTGGTCTGGGGAGCGCTGGCTGGCGCGGCGCCCCAAGGGTGATGATTCAGAGACCCTTTTGGGGGGCGCTGGCTGGCGCGACGCCCCACCCCTATCCCCAGGTATTTGACGACTTTTCTTCTCCGTTTTTCATCTCTAAACCCTCCAATCTTCCCTAGTTCTTTCCCCAAACACTTAGGGTCATTAGTACTCTCAACTTACAACAGATCTAACTCAAAATCCATTCGGAAACACAATCAAATCAACAAGAAACTTCAACAACACAACCAATCAAAAACTTAACGATGTCCTTCAAGAACTTCACTTTTTAACATGTAATCAACCCAAAATCGCTGAATCGAAACAAGTTGGTGTGTGGGTGAACTAACCCATCACTAAAAGATCTCACATACCTTAATAGGGATCGCCCCCGACGAATTCCACTCCAAAAGCTTGACGTCCTTGGCGAAATCTTGGCTTTTCTCCCTTTCTTTCTTCTTTTCTCTTTTCTCCAAGCCCTAAGCGCATTTCTCAATTCTCCAAACTGACTAAGTCATGTTTTTACCCCAATAAATCCCTAAAAACGAATTAGGAAATTAATCAGAGAAAAGACTACTTTGCCCTTCCCTAAATCCGGATTGGGACTTTCTTCAATCCAACAACCCAACTTCCGAAAGACATATCTCACTCATACAATGTCAAAATCGTGCAAACTCGGCGGCATTAGAAAGATCTTCCCAAGGGCTTTCCAACCATATCAAGAACTACTCCTAACTCATCCTGATCTAGGAGTTATAGTCGTTTGAAAATGACCAAAACTCACTTTCTTAACTTAGACAAAAAATTCCAGATTTCCACATGCTTTCCAAAAATGATTATTTTTCAGATTTTAAACTCTTTCTAGTCGTTTCTAGGTGCGAGATGTTACAAATACAATATGAAAATGATATTTTTAGATTTAAATAATCTGTACAAAAGGTTGGAAATCTTTTGAAGGAATTATGAGATTTCTTAAAATAATGGATGAATTTCGATTTAAACAAGGAAATATTTTTTTTTAGCAAAATGTCACAATCAAAATGAAAATTCAAAGTTATAATTGTGTCAGAGAGAGTCCAGAGAATTTCATAGATAATTTTTATTAAGGATAAATAAATATTTTAAAGACAAATTATTACTTAATATAAAAATGTGTCATTCTTTTTTAGACTGATTAAAAAGGAAAGTAAGTCACTTGACAATAAGTTACTCAATTGTCAAGGCTTCACTTCTTCTTTTCACCACCTCCGTTTACAATGTGTCAGTTGTTCAATCCCACGGCAAATCATGTGTTCGGCAGCGCCATCCTCTTTGATTTTTGCTCGATCTTGGGAGTCTTGAAGCAGATGATACAAGGCAAGATTTAGGTTACCTGAGGAGAGGAATAAGGGAAAAAAATCTTGTTAAGAGAATAGATAGAACGTGGGTAAAAAATTTAGAGAGAGAAAAGTGGGTAATGAGGTCTATTTTTTTTTCATCGATAACGGGTCAAAAAGTGGACTCAATTTAAGAAAAAAAGAAGGAAGGTAAATAAATTTTATTAGGCTACATTATATTTGCTAAAATATTGACATATTGACATTTTTAATAATTATTTTAAAGTATAGATACTTTTAATAATTATGTTAGGAAATTTGACTAGTTTGCTAATTTTCCCTATAATCTTGGATTAATTCTCTATTTTTTAAGTTTTTTTTACCTTTCTAAAATTATATAAATAAAAAGAAACAAAAAAAATTAAAAAACTCAAAATTTAAATAATTTTCATTGTGGCGTTGATAAGGGAATGACATGTCAATGATGTGGCAATGAAATGGAGTGTGTGTAATACACCTACCATTGTGAGACTGGTCTTGTAGTATTAGGGTTTTAAAAAAATCACTTCAAAGATGTTAAAGGGTATTTAAACGCTTGTATAATTTAAGTACTAAAGTAAATTATGCTACGAAATTTAGAGAGGGTTTTATGTGTTTTCTCTTATTAAAAACATGACTTATTTAATACATATTTGAAAAATTAGTATAACTTATATATCACACACGCATGTTCTTTTTTACCAAACAAAGATACACATTCCTTTACATTGATTTATTTTTAAAGTAATTATTAAATACGTTAATTTTTACCCTAAATAATATGACGAGTGTCATTCATTTATTAGTTGGATGTATTTGCGGATAAGTTTAAATTGCGAACAATAGATATAATTAGATATGTGGTTCTCATTCATTTTGTTGTTACTGATAAAAACTGCATCAAAACTAGAACACAAACTACACTAAGAAAATGATTATAAATTGCACCAAAGATAGACCAAATCTGGCAAAATGCTTATTTGAGTTCTACATGACTTATTGAAAAATCTAAGAAAAATAAGTTCCTTAAAAAATGTCAACGAGTGAGACTATCTCCACCGAGCTTCTTCATGCTCAAGAACAAATTTGGAATTATATTTTTAACTTTATAAGTTCTTCAGCGGTAACATGTGCATTTCAACTAGGAATCCCTGATGTGCTCTACAAACATGAAAAGCCCATGTGTCTTTCTGATCTTTCTGCTAAACTGTCTGTTGTCAATTCTTCCAAAATTTCCTTTTTGCCAATTTTAATGCGCTTTCTTGTGCAATCTGGTTTCCTAAATCAACATGAAGATCACTACTTTCTTACTCCAGCTAGTCGCCTTCTAGTGAAAAATGAGCCGTTCAATGTTAGGTCATTCTTGCTTTTCACCAATATTCAAGCCTGCTCAAAAGCATGGCATGAGCTAAGTGATTGGTTTCAAAATGATTCTCCCACTCCTTTTCATACCGCTCATGGAAAATCTTTATGGGATTACATGGGGGAAGAAAAACATAGAGTACTAGGTGATATTTTTTATGATGCATTGGCTAGTGACTCGAGGTTGATTACCAATGTACTTATTACAGAGTGTAAACATGTGTTTGAGGGGTTAACATCGTTGGTAGACGTTGGTGGTGGCACTGGTACTGTGGCTATAGCCATAGCCAAAGCTTTCCCTAACATAAATTGTGCGGTACTTGATCTCCCTCAGGTTATAGGCGACCTAAAAGGAAGTGGAAATTTGGCCTTCATTGGAGGAGATATGTTCGATAAGATTCCTCATGCTAATGCCATCTTACTCAAGGTACATACATATACAAAACATATTCTTCTCTCTTTCAATCCTTCTCAACCTAATTCATCATTGAACAGAGTGTTCTACACGACTGGAATGATGAAAATTGTGTGAGGATACTGAAGAAATGCAAAGAGTCAATTCCAAGCAGGGCAAAAGGAGGGAAAGTAATAATCATAGATATCGTATTGGAGAATCCAAAAGAGAGAAATGAGTTTGTTCGAGCACAACATAACATGGATATGTTGATGATGGTTCTTTGTGGTGCCAAAGAGAGAACAGAGAAAGAGTGGGAGAAGCTCTTCATTGAGGCCGGCTTCAACGAATACAAAATATTTCATGTTCTAGGTTTAAGGTCTCTTATTGAAATTTATCCTTAAAGAGAGAACATAGAAAGTTTTGTTCTCGTTTTATTATATTATTAGATGAATAATTTGTTTTGATTGTAATATAAAGTCATTATATTACTATAAAAATGAGCTCTCTTAATTCTTAAATAGATGTCGGGATATATTGACAATTAATGATTTCTCTAAAACAATTTCTAAATGAGGCTTACTTAATCTAAGAAGTTCCAATAAATTGACGAAAAATATTTTTAATCGTAGCTTTCGCTCTAAATTATTTCTAAATATGGTGTTTTCTAAATCACATTTTGTTGCGCAATATAATACCATTGTAAAGAACAAGATACAACACAATTGTGTTTAAAAGTTCAAAACAATTTGCATAGTCATATCATTTTTACACAAAATTAATTACTTTATGTAATTTTCATAACCTTTAATGATATGGATTATTTAAGCAGAAAGTCTTTTATGAATTATATTATAATTATAATATTAGTTATTAGATAGATATAGAGATATTGTAAGAAATTAGAGGTTCAATAGCAAGATATTTATTACATAGTATAAACATGTGAGTTAAGCTTTCTGTATCACACAAGCACAATTATTTGACGTGAAAAGATATCTCTCTCAAAACTTTATAAAAAGAAGAAGTTATAAATCACAAACTTATTGAAATAACATTTGAGATAAACTTTCAAAATTGAATTCAAAATTATTGTTAATTACTAACACATTAAATACAGTAGTGAATAAAGTAAAAGAGAAAAGAAATGTTAACATAATTATGAAGTTACAACAAGTATTAGATTATAAATAATTTCTTTTATTTGTAACAATAACATAAAATAATTCAACTTCACAAGTGTTCTACTAGATATCATATATCATCCTTAATGCAAAGGTAACATTCACCGACAGAACGGCTTATGAAACTTGAAGTGGCGTGTTAATGTATAATTAGATAGGTAAATAAATAACTTAAGAATATAAAAAAATTACATACATGTTTATGAAAGAAAATTTTACAACTCTACTCTCTAAGAACATTTATGCTTTTAATATACTTTCTCTGTTTCTAATTACTAGTCCATTTTTAACTTGACACACCTATTGATAAAATAATAATTAACATATTAAGTTTATTATTTTATTCCTATTAATTGATAGAATTTCAAAATCAATCTACTCGTTAAAGAGATTCAACCTTGTTAAAAAACATTAACTATCTAAATAGACTGAGGATATAATAGATAAAAAAAATATTGTTATTTCTTAATTTGTCAAAAATAACAAGTAAAAAATTAAAATTAAACAAGTAAAAAGAGACAAAAAAAAAAGTAAGGGAAAATTACGTGCATAAGCAAACATATACTAGTTAATTACTTAACATAGCTATAGTTAGCCTTAATTACAATTTGCAACCTACTTTTAGATATAATTACGCGGCTCAACTTTTTAGTTTTGTATAATTTGAAATTTATATAATATAATCTGTATAACTTTTGTATAATTCGAAATTTGTATAACTGTTTACACTTCTGATGTTTGTAATTGTATAAATTCGTTATTTTGAGTTTATACAAAAATAACTGAATTATACAAATGTACTCGCGAATTATACAAATCCACGAATTATACAAATGAGGCAGCTTGAACTATAGCTACAACCCATAAATATGCAAACTATAGCTATGGTGCATAATTAAGTTTATTATAATAGCTATTTGCGAAAGTCCCTCAAAAAGTAACTAGTTTAATGTATATATTTCGGACATGTATTTTACGTCAATCAATAAATCCCACCAACACGTCAAGTTGCTTATAGTAGGGTACACCTATTAAATAAAATTGAAGTTTAAATACGGACAACAAACACATGTTTCTTATACATACATAATTCAAAAATAAGGACCATATGTGGGGCAGTTTTGATCAACTATTTACTCAGCTAATCCAAATTGTCTCTTATTTAATTCATTGATTTGGTGTTGCGTACATCTTGAGAATCATTCAATATTTATTCGCAAGGATGACTAAGGACCGTATTGTCATGACATGAGTCTACATCCTGGACGTGGCCGGCACTCAAGAACCATTGATGGTCCCCAAGCGAACCCTCATCCTGGCTTACTACAAGCGGAAGACTAACTTAAGCATGCAAAAGCTTAAAACTAAATAAAATTCAATAAACTCAACTTTTTGAAACTTTAACTCAAATGAACAACTTAGAATAAAAATAATATATTCAAGTTGCCATAAAATAGGCAACTTAAATCTTTAAAACATTTAATAAAATAAATGAATAATACAGACTTCTCAACTATACTGACTATCTATGAAGCCTCTAACTGATAAAGATGGAAGTCGGATCAAGACCCACGACATCCTGACTAAACTGAAAAGTAAATGAAATCCTCCGGAAACAAGGAGGCTCACCATAGATATATGCAAATAACTATAACTACATAGATATATGCAAATAACTATAACTACATAATTCATCTAAAATTAAATAAAATTAATTGAAGAAAAGGAAAATAAGGAAAGTCAATAGCTTACGCAAAGATGATCATGTCTTTGTAGCAAATTATTTTGGGGGGAAAAAATATCTCTTAAAACTTCATAAACAAACTAAGTTATAAATCACACCCATAAAGCTCTTTTTCTTTAATACAAGAAATAGAGTAATTTTTCAATTGCAAATGACAAAAATCAATGGAGGAAAAAATTGCATATAGTAGGGTACACCTAAATAAAACTAAATGTTAAATACGGACAGCAGCCCACCAGCATGTCAAACACCATGCATGTTTCCCAAGTACATATTCAAAAATAAGGAACATCAACGAACGTGGAACTGCAATATCATATTTTTCTATGCATATTTAAAAATAGAGATTACTAACAGATGTGGAGCTACAACATTTTTTTTATATACATAAATTTAGAAATAGGAACCATCAATAAATGTGGAGTTGCAATACCACATTGCATATTCAAAAATAAGGAACATCAACGAACGTGGAACTGCAATATCATATTTTTCTATGCATATTTAAAAATAGAGATTACTAACAGATGTGGAGCTACAACATTTTTTTTATATACATAAATTTAGAAATAGGAACCATCAATAAATGTGGAGTTGCAATACCACATTGCATATTCAAAAATAAGTATCATCAACGAACGTGGAGCTGCAATATCATATTTTTCTATGCATAATTAAAAATAGAGATTACTAACAGATGTGGAGCTACAACATTTTTTTTTATACATATATTTAGAAATAGGGACCATCAACAAATGTGGAGTTGCAATATCACATTGCATATTCAAAAATAAGGAACATCAACGAACATGGAGCTACAATATCATATTTTTTTATGCATATTTAAAAATAGAGATTACTAACAGATGTGGAGCTACAACATTTTTTTTTATACATATATTTAGAAATAGGGACCATCAACAAATGTGGAGTTGCAATATCACATTGCATATTCAAAAATAAGGATCATCAACGAACGTGGAGCTGCAATATCACATTTTTCTATTCATATTTAAAAATAGAGATTACTAACAGATGTGGAGCTACAACATTTTTTTTATATACATAAATTTAGAAATAGGAACCATCAATAAATGTGGAGTTGCAATACCACATTGCATATTCAAAAATAAGGAACATCAACAAACGTGGAGCTACAATATCATTTTTTTTTATGCATATTTAAAAATAGAGATTACTAACAGATGTGGAGCTACAACATTTTTTTTATATACATAAATTTAGAAATAGGAACCATCAATAAATGTGGAGTTGCAATACCACATTGCATATTCAAAAATAAGGATCATCAACGAACGTGGAGCTGCAATATCATATTTTTCTATGCATATTTAACAATAGAGATTACTAACAGATGTGGAGCTACAACATTTTTTTATACATATATTTAGAAATAGGGACCATCAACAAATGTGGAGTTGCAATACCACATTGCATATTCAAAAATAAGGATCATCAACGAACGTGGAGCTACAATATCATTTTTTTTTATGCATATTTAAAAATAGAGATTACTAATAGATGTGGAGCTATAACATTTTTTTTTATACATATATTTAGAAATAGGGACCATCAACAAATGTGGAGTTGCAATGCCACATTGCATATTCAAAAATAAGGATCATCAACGAAAGTGGAGCTGCAATATCATATTTTTCTATGCATATTTAAAAATAGAGATTACTAACAGATGTGGAGCTACAACATTTTTCACTACAAGAAAACTGTGAATTACTTGGGAATTTTACCTAGGAATTCTATCCGCAGGAATTTCCTACGAATTTACATGCAAAATTATAAAATTCCTAAGTTATGCAATATTTTACCTGCGTAAATTTTTTTCAAGGAAAATCCGCAGGTAAATTTGGCGCAAAAATAATACTTGGAGAATTAGTTGGGTAAATTAGTCTGCACGTAATATTTTCGTAGATAAATTCACAAGTAAATGAACAAAAATAAATTCCTTTATTATTTGGCAGAAAAATCCCCAAGTAAAATTACCTATGGATTTAGTTGGGGATATTTAAAAAATTAAACTTTTTTTAAGTTAGAGAATTACTTGGGAGTTTGTTTCTACGAATTTAGATATGGATTTACTTAATGAGACTTTACCCGAAAATTACATACTAGGGAAATTACTCAAGGTATTGTCATTGCGAATTAGTTAGATTGTTTAAATTTGAAATTATGGGAACATTTTTGTAGCGATAAATGTTTTTTTTTTGTTTGAAAACACTCTCTTAATTAATGTGGTTAAAACTGGTGAAACAATTTTACCAATTATCATATACTATTAATTATTTTATGAAATTTAATGTTTTATTGGAGGCATTATAATAAATATCTCGGTTTCATTTTTAATTGAAGAACAGTAAATAATTTTAATCATTGACTAATTTAAATAAAACTCAATTAAAATTTTGAAATATGGCTTTCTGCATTTCATTAAATTGTGTATTACGGAGTAAATAAGTATACGTTTTAAGTAGGGAATATTTTATTTATATTTGTTATTAGCATAAAGTTTAATTGTCTTCTACAATAGATAAATTTATAGTAAAAATATTTTTGA